AAAATGTGCACATTGCATTAATTACCTTTGTTTAGTAAATTATAAAGAAGACTTATTCAATGGCTGTATTTCCCCTGTACATGCAATTACCTTAATATCTATATCAGATTCTATGATTTTTTGTACTTAAAGTTTCTAACATGCATGGTGGCTTTATATCTACTGTGAAAAGCTGATATCAAGATGAGTACAAAGACAAGATAGATGAATATTACTTGTATATAATTGCTACTTTCATTTTAAAAATTCAAAAGTAATTGTCAAAATCATTAAGGCTTATATTATTGAGTTACAATATAAGATTTATTGTAGAATTACTCCCATGATCCTTTGCTCTCAAACCGGAATTTTATCACAGTAAAGATTAAAATTTATTTTCAAGGCTTTTTCTCGGGAGTCTTGAATATCTGAAAAAAAAGTCCACCTATTTAGACCTTGACAATGTCTGAAATACAAGATGTAGGTTGGTTGAGAACTGAAAGTGATTCAAAATTGGCAATTTAAAACCATTTGTACTGAAATTCTTTCCACTGAATTATTCCAGGATATTTTGATGATTGAGTACATATTCAAAGACACATGCAAGATTGAGTCTGAGTTTGTCACTAAAATAATAAATTCCCTAATATTTGGTCCGTAAAGAATCACGCCACCTGATGCAGTTTGTTTCCCCCATTACTTTTGGCTGTCCGTGAGAGAATTTTGTAGGTAGTGTTAAATTTATTGATATATTAGACTGTAGGAACCCCGTTTCTGAGATATTAAAAACATTTCTAAATCTAATATCAATGCACAAATTTTAGATGCAATTGTCACCCATTTTTCAATAGTTTAACCTAATTTTTTATTTTATGCATCACGTTCACGATGACAACCATCTGGCAGAGACATTTTTTTCCCAGAATGCACTATAAATTAGTCATCTGACCAATAGGACTATTAATAATGATCAAAAACTGCTCAATCTCAACGACTTTCATTTCGTCTTGTTATGGTAATATTTGTTGACCTTTTCTGTAGCATTTTGTGGTGGATTTAGCCTTTAAAACGATAGAGCATGCTACAACGAAACCAAGCTCTTCAGCTCTGATATGCGCTCTTCTGTATTTGAGTTCATAGTTTTTCTCGTTCATTTGAGAGCAGAGCGTGTTTATGCAAATAATTATACTGGTATTCTCTGTTACCTCGCGCTAATCAATCGCTGTGGGTGATTGATTTACGCAATTTATACATTAGCATATAGAAGATTTTTAACTATCTTTATTGTAATTTGTTCCGTTTCTGTGTTATTGTCTGGTGTTACCATGGTTACACATGGTATTGAAATCAAAATGTGAAAGTGTATGTAGGCCACGTTTCACTGTTCAATTTTAATGAACCACTCCTAGGGATACACGCATGAATGTGCAAATACAATCTGACAAAAGTTAAGAGAACAACAGTTTGTGAATTCACTGACTGTCGTAAGGATCAAAGGATGTCAACTGTTGCAATCATTCATGGTTTTCCCTCCAGATGATTCGCCATATGTAGAATTGTGTTTGTGATTTCAACAATCAGGCAAACCATTTATTTGTTGGACATTGAAACACAAGATCATCTACTGACTATTATGTACAGTCGGGATAAATTTTCCTTTAAGTTTTGCACGTCCGGTGATGCATTGTTTTTGGCTGGTGTAAATTAGTTACCTTTCAGAAAATGCAATCAGAGTCCAAAGCTTGGGTTGGACCATGGCTTCATCCTCATTCCATAGTTTGCTCACAATTTGGAAAAGAGGTGGTCGCTACACAGCACTTATTCTATTTCGTGAAAATAAGCAATGCATTTTTACACACATTGTACATGTTGCTGTGGATTTCAGATCAACCGTGACGTGGTGTGACGACCACCAGCCTTAAACTACTTAGGCTAATGGGGATTTGAATGTGTTTGCATATCTTGTTGCCATGGGGTGGAGTACATGTGAACTTGCCAAAATAATCCATTGTCCTTGTTTTTCTGAATAATTCAACAATGGATTAGAAGTGGATCTTGTTTTTTGCATTGCATTATGTACTTTTGTGCAATGATCAAATTGAAAATGAGTTATGGAGTCTGAAAATAGATGTGGTATTACATTAGTAGTGTCAAAGCAGCAGAAATCAGTGAACAAAATTGCATTTCAAATGCGTCAATCAACTTTTTTTCCCCCCTAAATTTGTATCATATTTCGTGTATGAACAATTTTATTGTGATGAGTATTAACTTTTAATTGTTTTTTATTAATATTAACTAATTATGAATATACGTTTGAAAAGCAACATTCATTGACTTCACTAGATTTAAAAAAATCTTTCTATTCCATGCCAACAACCCTATTCTGCTGGGATCCCCATTCCCCTCCCCAAGATTGCAATAACAATTGTAAAATGTACTGTTTAAGAGAAGATATATTTTTATTGGAATATACTTAGAATTTATTCAGAACATGCGTTTATTTTTGGTCAACTGGAAAGGTGTCCAGAATATAATAGCTATATTTGAAGTTATTTTCTTGAGTCAGATTTTAAAGTTTTTTGTAACGTTTCATCTTGATGCCGATTTTGTGATGTTTTAAAATGTATTTAGTAGTACTGAAGCGGCAGTAACAATTATGCACATGGTTTGATTATCTAGTATGTATCAATCATTCAAATTATATTCGCCTATACAATGATGAAATAATTATTTGCATTTGCTTTGAGTTGCTGGTTAATATTCAGATTTGCAAAATTATTTCGTCAAACATTTTCTTTACCGAAAAAGCGTAACTCGTAATCAAATATTAACAAATACAAGCTTGTACAACAAATTAACAAATATGTCGGTATTGTTTCTTTAATTATATAATTAAGTTTTTACTTTTCCAAATAGTAATTATATTTGGTGTTTTACTTGAATTACAAAATCATTGAAAACTGACATGAAATTTCAATTGAGTTTGAAAATCTGTTTTATCCATTGACAAAGATGCGTTTCTTGTATACAAACGAGTTCATCATTAATTCAGGAAATTCTCCATTCCTATTGGTTGTTAGGTTTAAAAATTTAAATATGCAAATTATTCCAGATGCCTCGGAAAACACATGCATGTATTTGTTGTATTGTAAATAAATCGGTGTTTGAACAACCAATAAGGCAAGCACGAGAGGAGTTTCAAGCCAGGGAGTAGAACTAGAATGTTTATGCTGATTTTTAGATCACAACACCCAAGGATAACTTCAGTAAATACAACCCCCTCCCACCTAAAAAACACTTGTTCAATATTTTGAAGTGATGCCTTGCTAGGCTGAGTATTCTGTAAAACACGTCTTGTTGAAGCTTGCATGTTATTTTAGCCGAATTCTGCTAAATTCAAGATGTCGCTAAAAAAAAAGTATATTCTCACAATGATAATTGTTGTCACTTTAGCTATAAAATTAAGATTTACTTAATTCTTACATTGGGTCGGATTTGCTAAAATGGCATGTAGCTATTTTAACGCGTTTTACAGTAATTGCCAACATTGTTAAGTGAAAGGACAGCATCGATAAGTTTTAGAGTAACTAATAAGAAAGTAATAGTTTGCACTCTGCTGCCTTTAATACTGTCCACTGGACTGGAAAAACATTGGTAGATTTGTTTTGTAGATGTACTTATGGTAACAGAGTCTAGAGACGGTAGAGAGATATCCATCCTCAAGATGGTGGGCATTAAATTACATTAGAAATGTGTAGTTTTTGCAGGAGTTACTACTTGTGTACAAAAGTTACGATTATATAGTTTTATGTAGGTTTGAAAAGATTTCTTCATTGTGAAGACTGGCATTGTATAAAGTTTTCTACAAAAAAAAGTTTCAGTACACGTGTTGAAATTACTCGTAAGTGTGAATGTAGCGTCTACAACTATGTACATTACTTCTACCGTATTACTTTGACTATATTACTACAAAACAATAAACACATTTTAAACAAATCTCACAAGTTGTTTCACTGTATGTCGATTGAGTGCTTGTTGGATATTTTGCAGTAAACCTTCACAATACAGCTACCACTGCTATGTGGAAAGTCTTGATACAGCAAAACCTGCCTGTTATTCAGTGACCACATGTGAAGTGACCCTTGTCTAAAGACAACCAGACCAATGTGATCATGCAGTGACACCCTTTAACGTTTGAAAACTTGAACCTCTGTATATAAATGATTGAAAATTGTAGTCCAGGGTATTTTTTTCAGGGGGGATGGATTCGATTGTTGATGCCACCTCCCCACATACCAACGTTCTTAATGAGTTGTCTGTATGTGTAATTTGAAAACAAGATTATATACACGCATATAATCTCGTGCTTTTATTAAAGTTTTAAAATTACACATACAGACAACTGATTAAGAAACGTGAGAAGCGCCTTTGCCACATACTGCTGTGGATGTAGAAATCCTAAAAAAAAACAAAAAAAAAACGGATTTAACATTCTCCGCCCCAGTTACCTCAAGATTACACTCTAGACTGAAATTTTAAATTTATCCAAGAAAAACATTCTATTCTCCATCTTAAAAAACTGCCGTGAAAACTGATAAATTACTGTTACATTTTTATTTACGAATTACATATTTACTTCCACATAAAACCATCTGTCTGGGAAGGACAACGACTTTAAATACCTTGAAATGATGTAATTTTGACCAAAGACAGTTTTAGTTGGGCGTCACGATCTTCCCATCAAATAACAGTACGTAAGAAACAGCGCCACCACCTTCACGTTTTTATACTGTATGTCAAAAGTTAAAGGTCAACTATCACCTGACCAAAATGTGTACCATTTCCACATTCGCTACATGACAAGTTCGTAAAATGACGAGATGTCGGTGTCATTTAGAACTGAGAGTCGCCATGGATACGCTGTAGAGTTTTCTCCTTATCTCCCGAACAGAATAGCATGTGCTACGAGTCAGCATTATGG